ATATATATCATGCCACTTTTATTTATAAAGTACTTTAAACAGCACAAAGCCAACCAAAGGGCTGTACAAAAGACAGACACAACATGACATAGTTATTAAAATCAAAATACAAATTATATATATAACTACCAGTACCATATTCAGTATGTATCTTTTTTTAAAATCTGGTAGCAATACTGGTAGTGAGAGTATGATGGTGTGAAATAGGTTTATTACATTCTGGTAGCAGCAGTGTAGGCTACATAATGGAGGCTACAAACAAATTTCCCACTGAGCTAGTTATAGTTGTCAATGTGAGTGTAATTTTACAAATAAGGAAAATGTGAGCAGTTCATTTTGCTAACTGTAACTTTATGGTTTGCTTTGAAAAAGTAAAATGTTCATCTTTTTGTTTGTTAGTTACTAAACATGACGCTATTACTGAGAGCAAAAACAGCTGTGAAAAGTCACAGTATTGTCTCATTTTTCCCTTATGTTTATCAGTGTGATTTTAACCTCGTACTATTTTCAGACAGAGGATAGCCCTTTGACGATGGATCAGACACTTGGTAAAGCGGACAGCCTGACCGCAGAGCTCGCCCGGCCAATACTGTTAGATGAATCGACTGTTCCACGAGGACAACTGCTACCAGTGTGCCAGAATCAGTTTCTTTCAGCCCCCTTTCAGTCTGTAGAAAACAACTGGATGAACCAACGTTCTGCATTCACACATTTCTCTTCGTGTGCTTTTACACCTCCCGCTACCAGTCACACTTTTCCACAGATGGGATCAGACCAATTCTCAACACAAATGTCACTGGATATCACTTCTGGCCAGGATGATCCTGTTGCTTTCCCACCAGTTAACTTTGACAAAGCCAGACCATCAGAACTGCAGAGTGATTTAAGTGATTTGGACTCATTGTTCAAACAGAGTGATTCACTTCTTATTGACCCGACTGATACAGCAGAAGTATTTTCAAAACAAGTCATCCCACTGTCTCAACCTCAAAGTGCATCTTCAACTTATGTTGACCAGATCAGTGGAAATGAAACCCCTCCAATACCTGGAGTTTTGTCTAATTCCCTTGTCCTGAACAATGACAGACAGTGTGATATGGTCAGTCCATCATGGCTGGATTTATTTTTGGATGGCAATAACAACTTGAGCTTTGACGCCGACCTAGAATCTGCTCTTTCACCAGAAGCAGGATCTGTTTAACTTTAAAAGTTATCATCATGCAGATGAAATGGTTTTTTTCTCTGTCAAGATGTTGATGTTAATGTTTTCTTAAATTTAGAAATAAAACAAAGGGACCGATGCAGTTTTTTGTGCATGATTGGTAGTCGGGTGGTGGGTAAGACATTTTTTGTTAGCCTTTATTCTGAAGTTCTTGTAAAGCAGAAATATTCAATAATTATTTAAAACTTAATTACAGTTCTTGCAACAAAATTACACAAGATTTGCTTTTTTTCTGCTGCCATGTGTATTTTACATAGTTTTTTTGTTCAGCAAGCTGTGAAAGATTATTGATAACTGTTTTGTCTGATCATTGGAGAAAAAATCCTTTAGTTAATAAACTGCTAAATATTCCCTTAAATTTTGTCTGATTGAGAATTACAGTCTGTTATCCATTTACAGCTGTTACCAACATGTTACTATAACCCTCAGAAATAAAAAAATAGGATGTTAGTGGTTCTTGACCTACATTTTGAAACTAAAGTGCAAACCCTGCAATTCACTATACATTGAATTTGGGATTTTATTTGTACTAAAATTATTTTAATCCTTTTTTATATCGATCATCCAACAATTTTTGGAAACTTCAAAATACATTTTAAAATTTTTCCTTTTTCATAAAATATGGTAACTTAAAAAATATATATTTTGATTAATTTGTACCACTGTATTTCTGACATCCAGCCACTAGGTGGCGTATTAGAAAAAACACGTATTTATGGTTCTTGTAACTGCCTCACAAAATTGCTTGACAAGTCAAATAATTGTTTGGGTTCTAAGTTTAATTCCACAAAAAATATTAATGTTTGAAGCACTTCTAATAAAAATCATATGTTTGCAGGCCCTTGAGTCTCAGCTGCCCTGTAATGCATGTCCATGATTGAACATTTCAGTAACAGGCCGACAGCTTTTTGTTGGAATCAAAATTAGTCTGCTTAAGCAATGCTTTTGACTTTTTTTGCGACAAAATTTCAATCAAACTTTAAATTTTCTAAATTTATTGTTTGATTCACTTCTCACAAGGAAAACGACTGACCTAAACAGAAACTTAACTGTTGAGGTGAAAAAAAATCATGAAAAAAAAAGGAACACTTACACTTCAAGGCTTTAACATTCAAAATATTCTGAAAAGCTCATGAATAAATAAGTAAAGACAAATTAACGAGTGAATTTTCCCCAAATATTTATTGTTTTTAGTTGTGTTTTACTAATAGCTGGTATAATTAGCAGTGATGGTACTTCAAACAGCACAACCAAAAATCTGTGTGGCTCACTACAAGTAAAGACATTTTATATAAAGTTAGTTAAACAAACTAACGGCTCATTTATTTCTTCACAAACATTTAGGAAATTCATGAAGAATTTAAAAGTTTCTTCAAAAACAGTTTTGTTAAAACACACATCTTCAAATTATATAAGAAACTGCATGTTTTAATAAGCTTGATGCACATTTTATTTGTCTGTTCCACATTTAGAAGCATCGGCTTTTCAGATTACAAAACTGTAAGGTATAAATGTTGCAGTAGTTACTTTGTAAACATAGAATGTATTTTTTATAAATAAAGATTTTAAATATAGAACTCTGAAATTAGTAAATACAAAGTTTTAAGGCATTGTTGAAGTAAGGCAGGACACCAGCAGCTATTTCTTCAATTTCTCAACTTGCGTCTCGGTTTGGGGTTGTTCCTGAAGGTGGTAATCTTCCAAAATGGCCTGCGCCGTGTGCTTCCCAGTTTTTTTCACCACCGCTTTGATCCCCAGGTTGTCGATGTTGAAGGCAGTGATGCCGACATTAATGGCAGAATTGACGGCGTTGTCCGTGGCCTGTCCTGCTGCCGCCCCGTACCTTCAGAGTCAGGATCAGAGTCAGGTTGGGGAGGAGGTCAGCGTAAACAGGTTAGAAAATTAATCCATATGGAGCACAAGGACTGCAAATATGTCATGCTGAAATATGAGAATTACACCCGTGCATGTGCCCAGTCTGAAAGGCAAACAATTAGATTTCAAATTTGCTAAATGGAACAAAAGCAGTCAAAATTAAACCTGTTTTTACACAAATGATGTCCTGGTAATTGATTCCCACAAAACCCAAATACAACCAGATATAATAAAAGAGAGAATGGTAATGCAAATATATTTGACCACATTATTATTATTTATAATTTTATAACTCTAGAAAACCCATTTTATTTCATATTTGGCAGTTATCAGGACATCCAACATCAGCTCATAGGGTATAAGAGGATGTTAAGATCAGGCAGGAAAGTAATCTTAGCAACTGGGAGATTTTCCTTAGAAACATATTTAGAAGTTGGTGAAAGCAGCATTCAAAGGTGAATTAATGAGGTGGGGGTGGATTGGTGCATCATTTTAAAAAAAGGGAAATAGAGTGTATCTGTAGTTAGTGGTGAAAGTAACAGCTGTGCGCAGCTAAGAAGAATTACACTCCCTCTCATTAGGTGTGTCAGGGATGTTTTGTAGACCCCTAAATCTGTAACGCAGAGAGGGATACAAGTGACAGCATGTTTAACTTTGCTCATACAGTGCAAGAGATCAACTGAAACACACACACACGTCCACATCTAGCAAAGTTGTGAGTGAACGGGAGAACAGAGGGTGCAACACAAAAAGAAAAAGACTTACTTGTGTTTTATGGTGGTGACAGTTTCTGCTGCGACATTTTTGGTGATGTCTTTGGCTGCTACTTCCAAACCAGTCCACACAGCTGCAAACCCTGAACAAATACAGGGATCCCACTTTTTGTATGGACAGAATTCATGAATTTACTTTTTCTTTAACGTCACATTTTTTGCATTTTATTGTAAATAGGTCGAGAATAAAGTGTAAAAAAATCCTTGATGGCAAAAACTAAAGTACAGAGCTGGTTTGCTTTTATACAACTCAATCTGGAATATGAACAGCTTTCTGCCACATTTACAGTGGTTTGCAAAAGTATTCATACCCCTTGAACTTTTCCATATTTTGTCACATTACAACCACAAACATAAATATATTTCACTGGAATTTAATGTGAAAGACCAACACAAAGTGGTATACAATTGTGAAGTGGAAGCAAAATTTTACATGAATCAAAACATTTTTTACAAATAAAAAACTGAAAAGTGCGACGTGCAAAAGTATTCAGCCCCCTTTTCCCTGAGTGCAACCAATTGCATTCAGAAGTTGCCTGATGACTGCTAATGACTCAAAAGGGTCCACCTGTGTGTAATCTAATCTCAGTACAAATACAGCTGCTCCGTGACGGCCTCAGATGTTGGTTAAGAGAATATTGGGGAGCAAACAGCATCATGAAGTCCAAAGAACACACCAGACAGGTTAGGAATATGGTTTTGGAGAAGTTTAAAGCAGGCTTAGGTTATAAAAAGATTTCCCAAGCTTTGAACATCTCACGGAGCACTGTTCAATCCATCATCCGGAAATGGAAAGAGTATGGCACCACAGTAAACCTGCCAAGACAAGGCCGTCCACCTAAACTTACAGGCCGAACAAGGAGATCACTGATCAGAGAGGCAGCCAAGAGGCCCATGGTGACTCTGGATGAAATGCAGAGAGCCACAGCTCAGGTGGGGGAAACTGTCCACAGGACAACAATTAGTCGTGCACTACACAAATGTGGTCTTTATGGAAGAGTGGCAAGGAGAAAGCCATTGTTAAAAGAAAACCATAAGAAGTCCCGTTTGCAGTTTGCCAGAAGCCATGTCGAGGACACAGCAAACATGTGGAAGAAGGTGCTTTGGTCAGACGAGACCAAAATTGAACTTTTTGGCCACAATGCAAAACGCTATGTGTGGCGGAGAAAGAACACTGCACATCACTCTGAAAACACCATCCCCACTGTCAAATATGGTGGTGGCAACATCATGCTCTGGGGGTGCTTCTCTTCAGCAGGGACCGGGAAGTTGGTCAAAGTTGATGGGAAGATGGATGGAGCCAAATACAGGGCAATCTTGGAAGAAAACCTGTTGGAGTCAGCAAAAGATTTGAGACTGGGGCGGAGGTTCACCTTCCAGCAGGACAACGACCCTAAACATAAAGCCAAAGCTACAATGGAGTGGTTTAAAAAAAAGAATATTCATGTGTTAGAATGGCCCAGTCAAAGTCCAGACCTAAACCCAATTGAGAATTTGTGGCAAGATCTCAAAACTGCTGTTCACAAACGCTCTCCAGCCAATCTGACTGAGCTTGAGCTGTTTTGCAAGGAGGAATGGGCAAGAATTGCAGTCACTAGATGTGCAAAGCTGGTGGAGACATACCCTAAAAGACTTGCAGCTGTAATTGCAGCAAAAGGTGGCTCCACAAAGTATTGACTCAGGGGGGCTGAATAATTTTGCACATCGCACTTTTCAGTTTTTTATTTGTAAAAAATGTTTTGATTCATGTAAAATTTTGCTTCCACTTCACAATTGTATACCACTTTGTGTTGGTCTTTCACATTAAATTCCAGTGAAATATATTTATGTTTGTGGTTGTAATGTGACAAAATATGGAAAAGTTCAAGGGGTATGAATACTTTTGCAAACCACTGTATATTGTTCTAATATGGCTTCAGGGTGGATTAGGGCGACACATTATATCGAAAATGTATCGTCATCGCGATAACAGTCTGCGCGACAGGAATATTGCAATAAATGGTTGGCTCAAGAGTTTGCATTTATGCATTTTGTCACTCAGAGAGAAGTTTGAAATATTTCACCAATCAAACGGAGTCCTTCATGTATTTGGTCAATTAGATGTATCTCTTCATATTTAAAAAAAATCATGCTGGAAATGGAAATGATTAGTTTTGTTTTGTTTTTTGTTTTTTTGCTCTGAACCCAGAGCAGAAAGACATCAGAAATACATACTTATGTATTTGTTCATTTATTGCAAGTCATATCGTCATATTAAGCACTGTCATCGCACATCACAGGTTTTCCTAATATTATGCAGCCCTAGGGTGGATTGAACTATTAGGAAACAAAATGGTTATGGCAGCTACAAGAAAATTAAGTTGAATGATTTTAGGGAGGCTTATATAAATAAGTACGGTAACTAAATCTCAAGCCACCTTGAGATCCATGCCAGATCTACGTATATATTTAAGAAACAGATAAAAGCTAGTTTTCTGAAGGTATATGGAAAAGTAAAATGTGAAGCTATATGAATTGTTTTGTAAAATATGTTTTGTTTGAATATATTCTGGGGATAAAGGGGGCAGACATTATAAGATTTATTCTTTTTCTGCTGCCTTTCATTTTATTTTTTTTGTGTATTTTCTTTTTCTTTTATTGTTTATGGTTATTTTTAAATGAAATGAATAATTTTTTTAATTGAATTGAATTTTTGAATTGAATTTTATAAAATGTTTATAAGAATAGAATGAGAATGTTTATAAACATTCAGAATGTCAATCTATGCCTTTATTTTTCTACCTCATTTAAAAAATTTGGCAAGGATAAAATACTGCATGCACCTTTCTTCAAGTTTCTCACATCCAATCCATTTTGTGAGGATATACGTTGTAGTTTTTACTCTACCTTGGACTCCACTGGCCGCCACCACCATGGCTCCATCTATGTTAGAACGTCCATCCTTGTCCTTCTTCATGGACTCGGGAATCAGCTTGCCTCCGTGTTTTCTCACGTGAGGAGCCAGCTCTCGACCCACGCAGCCAGCGACAGCGCACACCCCGTCCACTGCAGCGACACAGCAGCACTTCAGTTAGCCATCTGCTGCCAAACACCTGAATCACAACACAAGGTCAAAACCTGAAGAGGACTCGCTCACCTAAAAACTGGCTGACTTTAACAGCTCCTCCCGTTGCTTGCTTGGCCACGTGGAGGCTTTTAGTGACGGTGGGGCTGACGCTGCTAGGCTTGTCCTCTGGAGTGATGTGTTCTCGGAGTTTGGACGCTCCTTTCTGGATGGCCTTTCCCGTGTACTCGGCACCTTTCACCAAGCCCCAACTTAACCAGGACGCACCTGTCAGGATCACACAGGTTCAGGCTGTGTCCACATTCAGAGGCTGCGTCCTTGGAAGGACACGGGTCCTTCATCAACCACAAACACTGGACTAAAGAGACTGAGTTTGGATGGATAGGCTTCATCTTTTGTCACACCTTTACCCTGCAACTGTGACCACACTAAACAGAAACAATTAAAGATTGGAAATAAATCAAAACGAGCAAAACAAAGTGCCTGTGACATGTCTATTCATCAAATACACAAAGTCAAACAAAACACATTTTTATAGAAGAAACCTTGCATAAAACATGTGATTTTCCTCATTTTGTCACATAAATGGCATATTTCCTTTTGAGCTTGGCTCAGCCGAAGTGCAACAGGAAGTGACATCAAAGGGGAACTCTTTAACAAAAAGAACTCTCTAATCTTTGTTTATTGAAACAATATTATTTGAATTCTGACTCGTCTTCATCTCTCTCTGATGGTGACACAAAATATCTAAAGAAACATCAGATTCTTCTCTACAGTCTGTGTCGTTAGCTGTTTTATCCACGCTTTGTTCCATGCAGGTGTTCCCCCCTTTGACATCACTTCCTGTTCCTTCACAGGCAAATATCTCAACAACTGTTCATCTCATTAGCAATGTGCTAATAATATTATCTTTCCAATATTGCCTTTATATTTCTTTTATTAAAATCATGTCACAGGCACTTTAACATTTTTAAATTAAAGCTTAGAGGCAACACTTGAAGAACAAACCATACGAGCTCGTCTACATTGATTTCTGACAAGAATAATATTTAAAAAAAGATATCTATGCAAATGACAAAAACCTAACAACACAAACAAATCAAACTTTCTATTTTTGTTCTACCAGGTTTTTATTTCAAACTGTACTCCTGTCTCGCTCCGTCTCTTGCTTCGTCCACCATTAAAGGCAAATAAAATCTCCTAGTGGGCTAGCTAAGCATCTTGGGACAGGGTGGGCTGAGGAGGATACATCGGATCCATCCCTCAAATTGGGGGAGGAGGACGACGCATTTATAGGCCGCAACTGTAAGAGCCTTTGAATTTAGACAGCCTTCAGCGCATCACTGTGACGTAATCAGCCTTCAAAGGATGCAGCCCCTGAATTTGGTCACAGCTTCAGTCTGGACCACCCAGCTTCACCTAAAAGCACGGCAGGTCCAAACTACTAAAGAAGATGTTCAAATATAAAGACACGGTGTGACCTCACCTGTCAAGATTCCACTCGCCACCTTTTCACTCCATTCCGGCAGCGCCTTGTCCTCCTCGGTCTCGGCTGGTTTTCGCTCGGTCTCCTCAGGTGTGGGGATGGAGACCTTCTGACTGAGGTTGAGGGCGTCTGCAGCTTCATCTGGAGGCTGATCGTATAAACACACTGGTGTTACTATGGCAGTGTGGGCTGCAAATCAGAATAACTTCCCAGAAAAAAAAAAAGAAAAAAAATCTGTCTCTTTGTCTAATCTGATCACAACACAACAGCACCTCTCATTCAGTGCCTCTCGTGACAATCCTCCATCTGTTTACCCCAAACAGACTGCCATTTGCAAAAAGTTACACAAGCTTTGAGAAAAAAAAACTCATCTGCTTGTTCCCGAAATAAAACTAAAGCAAAAAAAACTTACTTTCTGAGAATTTACCACGTCCATCCAAGCAAATATCTAGCCTGACTGCATTCTTAAAAGTCACCTTGTAGCACCATCTCTACTTCCACCAAGGCTGAACTGATACTTGTCTTTCAGCTGAAGTGCTGATGTCGTTCCGAGTGCTGCAGATAAGAGCATTAGATCTGATTAATTCTCCTCACCTGCCAGGATCAAAGCCCCTCAATGCTGAGACAGGGGCAACGTTGGGGGAAAGATGCCAGACCTGAGGCGGGTAGGAGGAGGCACTTCATGCCAATATTACAGAATGAAAAAGTTGACCTTTTCCTGAGTCAGCACTTCATCATAAACAAAAAACTAATTTTAACTTCAACATCTCCTTAAAAACACCATTCTGTTCCGCTTCAGAGGCACAAGTGTAAATATTATTTGGTGACTTCAAACAATGAAAATGTTTTCTGCGCAAATCTTTCTTTTTTTTTGGACCAACCAAAGAACTGTGTTAACATGTACGGAATGGAGATACAGAGAACCAGGATAAATAGATATAAAGTATGAGGTCCATTTGCAAATATTTACAAAGAAATGCTAAAAAAAAAATGGCTTCACCGACCTGAACCCTGAGATCTGTCATTTGGGACAGCAGGTCCTGAAACACACTTCTGTCTGCAGCAGGCAGCTCGGAGGACAACACCACCCCCACGTAGTAGCCTGGACCAGGAGCCATCATGTCGGGAAACATAAAGACCCCGGTGTTACACAGCAACACTGGGGAGTCCATGGCCATGAGAGGGAAGAGCCAGTCACACACCTGCCACGAAGAAAATGACAGGAAAACGGCTGCATTGTTTTATTTTTAAAAAGAAGCCTTATAATGGTTGGAACGGCAGTTATTTGTATCAGACCCATTTGTTTATTTCGTCAATACACATTGAGGAGGTTTAATTGAAAGTGGGATTAAATGTAAACAAATAAAAGACAAGTTTGCAAGAACTAAGATGAGTAAAAGCAGTGGAATTTTTTACAGAAGACCCAACAGAGAACACAGTCATCCTCTGACTGCTGCATGTCTAACAGGATTACAGGGCAGGATAGTGTAAGCTGGCTTTATAGAATTACTGACGTCGCCCACTGGAAAGGACACCTGGGAAATTCCCTAATGAAGAGTCACATTTCTGCTTCCTGACCCACCAGAAGGACAAAAACAGTGCCATCAAAAGATTACAGCAAATACATCCAAGACCCTGAAGAGCTGTACGAGCTTTTAAGACTCAATGAACTGATGTGATGGCTAAAGACACTTTTTTTTTTGTGGCGAGGGTTGGGTATGTGCTTTCCAGGCACATAGTTCAATTCTATAACATAATCAAGTAACTGTTAAGTTCAGTAGTAATGAAAATGTTGTATATCAAAGATAAATTTGACTTCAGTCTACATAAATGCCTTGAAATTGGCCTCTGTCTCTTTAAGAACCTCCTACCATTTCTGACAATCCCACTTCAGCGATTTCTCAAACATGCATGAGTGAGTCAAAGCAACACGCTGGATATGTTTTTGTGTTGTTGATGAGGGGATGGCATTTTAACCGGATACAAAACTCAAAAAAGACGATTTTGCATAATGCCCCCCCTTTACCCCCCTACTATTGCATTTTATCAACGCAAACCCCTTTAAGGAGAATTTTGTAGAAGATATCTATTTATATAAGAAAACTATATGATAAGAGAACTTTTAAAAATTGAACTTAAGGCATTTCAACAAACATTTAATGCAATACTAACTGCAGGATGAAATTTAGTAACAACAAATCTTAACCTCATGTTCCCAGTAAAGCTGTCTATTATTTCTCTGAACCACATATTCAAAAAGAAAACAGTGACTCATCATCTAGTTTCTCCTAATCCTGACCTGATATTCTTCACCGGATGACATCAGTCTTTCTGATTAGGGACACTGGATAAACAACTCCCACATGACTGTGTTCATAGGGCAAAGGCCATCGATCACTGACGAGGCTATCTCATCTCACAGTTTAATGATCTTAAGATTTGAGCACATTACAAAATCAGGTTAAAGGGCACTGGACAGATTCAAAATGTCAGTGAAGACATTTATTTCCCCCGTATTGCATCAGGCAGGCAGGATGCTGGCTTATACTGTCAGGGTTTAGGAAAAGGAGTGTTTTCTGTCATACCTGCAGAAATGCTGGCGGTCGATTGGGCGTCGTCTCAGGGTGATCGCCGGTGAACTTCACCAGCCGCAGGTAGCCTGGGTATGAAGGAGCACTCACTTGGCCCTCGGGTGTGACGAAGAAGATCTGAACACCATGTGGAATGCACAACAGCTCCTCTCCGTCCTCACCCACGCTCTGGGGAGACGGAGTCGAGTTGGTCCGGGTGTAGAACCCTTCTCCGACCACCGACATTTCCCCTGATTCTGTCCCAAACGAGATGGACGTGTGGCCGTCGGCTGCCTGAGGAGAGTAAGCTGGAGGCTGCTCGGCGGGGGCCACGGGTGGGCAGTTTGCAGCCATGCCTCCTACAGCTCCAGCTGCTCCGACCCTGGAACGGAGGTGCGGTGTAGTTGGTCCCTCTGGTTTCTCCTTGGTGGCCAGCTTCGCGTGGAGACCTTCTGCAGAGCTCGGCGTGGCGGCAGACTCATCGTCAGAGCTGGTTTCCAGTATGGCGAGGCGGGTGGTGATGCTGTTCAGCGTCTCCTGCATCTTGTGCTGCATCTGCCTGGCCGACTCCCAGGAGCTGCCAACGCACTCGCCTCCGACGGAGGGCACGCTGATGGCCCTGAGGAGGTGCTTTCGGCCTTGCTTGTAGAACTCCAGGGCTGCCTCCTTGTCTCCAGCCTCATCTGCTGTGAGTCCTTTGTTGATGCACTCAAAAGCCCTCTCATAGCCATCCTTGATCATTTGAAGCCTGGCGTTATCGAATGCATCCTGTTTAGCCTTCTCCATTCCCTCTGAAACAAGACATCAAAGCTGTCAGTAAATTGTTGTATCATTTATATTCCATCAGCACAAACACAAGGTGAAAATTACAGCATGACCCAACATGTGGCAAAGCTTTATCCATGTTTGCTCAAGGGCTACACTTTACTCAACCTTACCTCCAAGCTCCGTCTAAAGTGAATTTATAGCTCCTAAAATTACCCCACGACTCTCTCTTGTGTTGTGCTGGACTAAACAAGCTAATCCCAAATGGTCAAACACAAAGCAGAAAGCTGACATCTTTACGTGCAGACGGTACGTTTTTACAGGTTTCACTGCACCACCGAATATCAATAAAATAACAGAGAAAACCCTGTAGGCATGTATTTTAAATAGCTAATATCACACAGCCCGAACAGGTTGTTCGACTTACCCGAGTCCTAAACACGCGCAGCTTAGCAAGTTAGCTTGTGGTCAACTTGTCCGTGTCGGCAACCGAACAAAGTTTAAAGTCTCACAACCACGTTTTATTCTAAAGTAAACTACGCTCAGACGACTTCCAAAACATTCAACGCCGTCTGGTGAACAGAGTTGCACTCGTGACCTTTCAGAGAAAATTGCGACCGGAAGAGAGCATGTTGTTACCACAAATAAATACAAACTGACGGCTTTTATTGTGAAAGTATTAACAGGAAACAGCAGATCACCGAACCCTTTTTGCAGTTCTTTGCGTCACCACGGGAGAGCAGTAAAAAGAACAAACAAACAAACAAACAAACAAACAAATAAATAAATAAATAAATAAATAAATAAATAAATAAATA